CTTGTTCAAGAATTGGCGGGAAATAAGTCATGTTCGTTTGTCATCTGCCGTAGGCGGGGACAACCACTAATGACGAAATGAATATGAAAGTAGTTTTGTTTTTTTTTAAACATGGATTGAAAAGTAAGTAATTATATTATTATGATTGCTTATGGATAACAAACGAATACCATTCTAAAATTTAGATTTTAGTTAACAATTATTTGTGAATGCATATTAATGCAAATTATAGAGGATGGTAAGTCATGTAAATTAATGTCTAATAAACGTAAGTGAGGAAATGATATTGTTGAATAATTTTTACGCAATTCTTATTTAAATTATATAAGTATGGTATATATTTATGTCGTATATATTTTAAAGAACAGGAGATTATGAATTTAAAAGAAAAGAATTAAAAGAAAACAGCTAAATTCATAACCTTCTGTGACATGGTCACAAAAGTTCCCTCTCAAATTAGACCCCAAAATCAAGAGTATACATGAAATGTAAACGAAATCAAAAGTACCAATCCACACTAAAACGATAATATACTTTATATAAATTGTTATAGTTTAGATAACGTGACATGCTCTCAAAGATCCATCTTAAATTAGAATATCAACCAACATTAAACGAAATCAAGAGTACCAATCCACCCTAAAACAAAGATATACTTTATATAAATTGATCCAGTTGTTTTATACGTTTAAACAGTGTGAGATAGACTCAACATTTTACAACTCACACAAAGGGAAATCAACAAGAGTATCAATCCACATTAAAACGATAACATACTTTATATAAATTATTCCAGATGTTTCATATGGTTTAAATAGGGTGATTTGGACTAAAAAAATTCATCTGAAATGAAAACATTCCAAAACAGAATATGCTGTCGATAATCATAGATCATAAACCAATAGAGAAAGTGAAAATGGCTACTGTTAGAAATGTAACTCATTTGACTCCACACTGCTACAACCAATTCTTGAAACAATGTGAATAGATGAAAAGATCTCTAAATTGTGTCTTGAGGAATCGTCGCCTGGAGAACGAAGTAGGAATTAACCAAAGTCGTGATGGAATAGTAATTCTGTGCCCCCACCCCCCGTCTAATGAGTGGCAGACACTAAATAAGCTTGTTCAAGAATTGGCGGGAAATAAGGCATGTTCGTTTGTCATTTGCCGTAGGCGTGGAAACTACTAATGGGTGAATGAATATAAAACTAGCTTGTTTTAAGCATGGATTGAAAAGTTACTAATTGTATTATAATGATTGTTTATGGATATCAAACGAATACAATTCCAAAATTTATATTTTATTTACCAATTAATCGTGAATGCACATGATTAAAATGACTTGTGACTATGCGAAAGCAATTGTTCCAGTTGTTTAATATGGTTTAGATAGCGAGATATGGCCTCAATGTTTTCTCTCAAATTAGAGTAAAATCGACAGAAAACGAGGGTTAGAGTACAAATGAAAAGAATTGAGTTTAAAAGTTTAAATATTCACCAGATTAACTGATAAGTCAAGGTAAATTATGGAGGATGCTAAGTGATGTAATTTAATGTCTAATAAACGTAAGTGGGCAAATGATATTGTTGAATAATTGTTATGCAATTCTTATTTAAATTATATTAGTATGGGATATATTTATGTCGTATATATTTTAAATTAAAAGAAAACAGCTAAATTGAATACTACCTGTGACATGGTCTCCAAATCTCTTTTTCAAATTAGAGTACCAACCCAAAGTAAAAGAAATCAACAGGACAAATCGACGCTAAACATATAATATACTTTATATAAATTGTTCCAGTTGTTTTATATGGTTTAGATAGGGTGATATGGACTCAGAACCTTCCGCTCAAATTAGAGTACCAAACTTAGCCTTTCCTTTACTGTGAGTTGGTACTGTAATTTGAGAGTAAATTTTAATTAATTCTATCTAAACTATATAAAATAACTGGAATAATTTACGTAAATACATCAGCGTTTTAGTGTCGATTGATGTTCTTAATTTCATTTACTTTGGGTTGGCTCAGCTGATATTTATGACGGCTCCAAACGAAGAAAAAATGTATTGTTAATGTTGATTTTCAAAAAAAAAATATAATGTCGAAAATTTGAATTTTTAAAAAATTTATTTTTACTTAACCCTTTGGAGATGGAACATCATTTGGAGTTTCAGTGCCAAGACGAAGCACTTTTCATATGCCCTCACTTGGAAAAATAATCGATGTAAAATCACAAAACACAGCAAATTCTCATAGAAACATTGAAAGGCCTAGATTTGCAAGAAATGCGAGAAGCAATATGATTGGCTGGTATGAAGATCAGCCTGCTAATCTCGAGTCTTGTATTATCGGGCCGACGGATCGGCTCTGTTGTCTCCTAAGGTTTAATAAGACAAAGGAATATTTTAGGAGACACAATAAAGTTTGTATCGATTTTTCTGAAGTGTCTTATTGCTACTTAACCAAACTATCATTTTGGCCAACGCTATACGTTTTTCGAATTACGCTTGAATGTGTTTTTAACAGAACACACCATAACCACTGCTGTCATCTTTATCGCAGGGTGTGTTGTAGCAGAAAGCTTGTCGCATTTAGAATTATCCGACATCAGCGCAAGAGCGTTATGGAAAACGCAAATAAGCGCGGTTAGTCCAATGCAATGCTGAACATATTGGGTTCCCGCGTGTTCTCGAAAATCACAAATAAAATTTTCCACTGAAAACTGCCAGTGCCGGCTATTGTCAACGGCCCTGGAGTCATACTCGTTGGATAAGATGTGGGAGGTAACGCAACAACTCAACTGATGATAGCAGGTAGGAACAAAGAAACCGGTGTCGCACGTCCAACCTTCTCATGAGCCGAAAGCTCTTTGCCCTGAAACAGCAAAACGAGCCTGCTTTATACAGCCGAGGACCGACCACGATTTGCATGCGAATGACGAGACAACGAGATTTCGCGTTAACTAACCGAGACCGCCCGGCATAAAATATGGGCACCGCCATTTTGGTTCCTTTTACCGTTGGGAGGACCGGAGTTTGCACACTGCACAGATGCGCACGCGTTTCCGAGGTAAGCCATTTTCACAATTTTCCCCACATAAGACTAAGCGTTTTATAATTAATTTATGTTTCTAATTCAACATTAGAGGAAAGGGCCAATCCCTTAGCAGACTCTCATTGAGTGGAAAGTAGTGATATCTCTATCAAAGCACGGGATGTTTCCTTGTTCATCAGAAACGTTGACCCTGCGAAAGATACTGGTCTGCGTAAAATCCTAGTGGTTAAGAAACTTAGCCCAGAGTTATCTCCAATCTTACCAAAGTTGTTTATCCGCTACCTGAAGTAGAAATGATTTCCAGTTCTATGGGACGTTTCAGCAGTATTCGTTATTTTCAAAAATACAGGTGAGATCTCATACCTGTCGCAATATCGCTCTACTAGTCTCCTTAGTATCATCAGTAAACACCTTGAGCTTATGATGAACAATAAAGTTGTTGATCACCTCAACAGAAACAACCTTCTGCACAACAAACAGTATAGGTTTTGCTGATCAAGATCCACTGCTGATAGCTTAACTGTAATTAAACAAATAATCAGTGAAGGACAATTCATCAAGAAAGAGATCGCCTTACATATGACAGGCCCTTGACAAGTCGTGGTGTATTATATGCTATTAAATAGAGCTTACGATAAATGAATGACAAGAAATATGCAAACAAATTATATATGGGGGAATACGTGAAAACCACTTAAGACTTTCATCTTCTTGTCCCATTTTTACCTCTTTTTACAAGAGCATTAAAAATTAAAACATGTTCTTTATTCTTACTCTTTAAACATGAATTAAATTTTCAGCCAACCCAATATGTATAATAAAGTTAATATCGAAAAAAATATCTTTTTTTAGTTAAGAAACGGAACAAAATTTTTGGCAAAAGGCTGTATGTTTTTCAATAAAGTTAATGATAAACATTAATAGAAAGGTCTCATTTTTATTTAATGAATCAGATGATCATTTTCGCAAAATAAACATTCTTCGCTTAAGGTATTTTTCTGTCTGAATTTCTGGTATGAGATGATATTATTCACATTATTTATATTAGGATTATTGTCCTCATTTTTGTTGTTGCTATCAAAAGGTTTCGGCCGTTGTACCCTGAGGCCTTCTTCAGCTAATGTCAAAAAATATATTTTTATTGTTACTTGATAAACGGAACGAACACTTTTTTAACCAGAGAGCACAAGTTTCTTAACAAATGATTTTGCTGTTTCAGATCCTTTGTTGTAAAACAGTTTCAGACAGAAACACACGCACGCATATATATATATATATATATATATATATATATATATATATGTGTGTGTGTGTGTGTATGTGTGTGTACGTATATATATACATGTATATATACACGCATATATATACACATATATACACATATGTATACACATATATATATTCACACATAAATATAGTATATATATACACATATGTATACACAAATCTATATGTACACATATATACATATATACACACATAAATACATACACATATATAAATACACGCATATATATACATATATAAACACAAGTATATATATATATATATATATATATATATACGCACTCACACACATATATATATACACATATATATATATATATATATACACATATATACGCATATATATATATATATATATAGATAGATAGATATAGATATACACATACGTGGATTCTCACGCACCACCGACACCCCACGAAGATTCTCATGCAACCATAGCCCATATAATTACTATAAGTTACACAAACAGTGGAAAGATGGCGACAAGCAGAAGCGACATTCGAGATTGGATTCTAACCACCGTTTTTGATTTCAGAGAAAATGAAAGCCAAGCACTGAAGCATCCAAGAAAGAACATGCTAAAGAAGACTTACGGATTGTTCTTGCCTAGAGGATAGGGTCCGACAGCAGAAGCTGATGTCAGGAAAAGAATGAAAATGTATAATTGGCAAGACCTCAATAAGAGCGACGAAAATGGCCGACGTTTCGTCATGGTTCACTTCTGTGATGTGGCGCGGCTTCTGCAAAAAAAAAAGAGAGAAAAACGGTTGTTTGCAATTCAAACGGTACCGATTCTGATTCAACTTTAAGTTAAATTGAATCGAAAAATTGAATTTAAAAACAAATCACTGTGGATTCAACTGTCTGTTCGGTAATAAAGGTTAAATCGAAAACGACGACATTTTCTCATGAGTTTAGATTCTTTTCATTTCTTTTTTAATATCTGAGTAAAACAGGAACGTAAATGTGAGACTGAAATCAAGATGCACTTCGGAATGGCAAAACACGAATTTCAATAGCTAAGAAAATTAGTAAGAAATAGGAAAAGTGTGCTGAACAGTTATGTAAAAACTATATTACAGTGAGTGCAAAACAATGTCCTCATGCCTTTCAGAAATTAAGCAAATATCAAAAGATAGGAAAATGTCATTAGAAACAAAGAAAAATGTGGTGAACTTCTGTGTAATATCTAATATCCTATATGGCAGTGAGTGCTAGACAATCTACTCATGCTTTTCAGAAAGTATTACGATATAGGAAAAGTTGCTATGAACAAAGAAAAATGTGCTGTATAGCAATCATCCTATATATATATATATATATATATATATATATATATATATATATATATATAAGCACCATATCTTCATGGAAACATATTTCATTGAATAATATAGACACATTATGTCTATTTATTTAAAATAATTTTTAAATCTATCCGTTGAAACAACGACTAAATTTAAAAGTTTTAAAATAATTATAACAGGGTGCGTTCACTCGCGTTTTTAAAAATCAACACCAAAACGATCGTAGTAACAATAAGCTTGTGTTTGTAATTCACCCCTGATGATGACCTCAGAAGAGATCGAAAGTACTTAGGTAAGAAAAACTACGGCGCCTTCCTCGATGAATTTTATCTTAACATCAATAAACTAAAAGAAATAGAAAGAATTGTTATAATATAGACATAATATTATAACAATTCTATGTCTATATTATTCAATGAAACATATATATATATATATATGTCGTCTGGGCAACGTAAGACCTCCATATATCATCACCCAAGCCTACACCCTGAAGAAGTCACTCCAGTCTTACCACCAAATGACGGATTTTTTGTTACCTTTATCTCGCGACATAAACTAATGTCTTCTTAGACATCAAATGTTCTTTAAGGCAAATGTTATCAAAGACAACAGAAATTTTTATCGATTAATTTTATTGAATGACTTTTCCGAATTCCGAATGATCCTTCTTTGGCAAGGAGGACATTCCGTCAGAAATCTTCCAAAGTTAATTTCGCAAAGAATATGGCGCAAGCGTTCGATTTACTTAAGTCATCATCAAAGGAAATTTATTTAAAACAAAAAGATGAACAGGAAGACACGGTTGGGGCTTTTGTATTTCTTTTTTTTTAAATAAACATTTTTTTCGGTAAAGAAATCTTCATCTTCATAATCAACCTTCGACCTCCCTATGGTTGGTCGTAACTCCATTGATAATCCCTTTACACACTGTTCGGTCCTGTATTGCTGTCCCCAGTTTCCCAATGTCCAACCCTGAGTCCTGAGCAATGGAGTCCAGGAAAGTCAATTTTCGTGAGAAGACACTTCCAGAAAGATGCCATAGGAGTAAGGATGAGACGGTACTCCCTGTCCGCTCAGTGGCAGTGGCCGGCAAACTGTAATCGTTTTTGCTTGAGTTTAAGAGACATTGGTCTCAGTTCTCCATAAATTGCGTTAAGCGAAGCGATTTTCAACTGATGTTCTGGATTTTTCTAATTAGATTTGCAAGTAGAAAATTATATGCATAATCTCCGTCATCATCATTGTCTTTTGACCTCACTATGATTGGTCGGAACTCCATTGATAATCCCTTCACACATTGTTCGGTCCTGTATTGCTGACCCCAGTTTCCCAATGTCAAACTCTGAGTCCCGAGCTACCGTGTCCAGGAAAGTCAATTTTCGTGAGAAGACACTTCCAGAAATATGCCATAGGACTAAGGATGAGACAGTACTCCCTGTCTGCTCAGAGGGCAGTGGCCGGTAAATTGTAATCGTTTTTGTTTGAGCTTAAGAGATATTGTGTTCTCCTCAGATTGTGTTAAGTGTTGCATGGGATCTCCAACTAATATTATACATTTTTCTTATTAGATTCATATATACTCCATCCAGTTGTCTTTCAAGACGAACAAATAATGTCCAAGTTTATGATTCATACATGAAGAAATCTTAAAAGTTATGCAATTCCGCATTTACTGAATTCGAAAACCGAAGATGTCGCATTTAATTTGGAGAAGTAATTTTCCAAATTCAGTGAGCAAGACTAAACTAAAAAGACGTCAACAGCCTTCTTCTCGAGTTCATAGTTTCAATCAACTTTAAAAAATGGTGTAGGGAATAAATGGTAAACGAGAGCTGATTAAGTGTGTTTCTCTGCCAATGTCCTTTGCAAACGTGTGCCTGTTGGCAACATTTTGAAAAGATAAGACGTTTACCATTTGTACACTGATTTTTTTTTCGTTTGGAATTTTTTTTTGCCAAAGCTTCATTATCGAAGCAGTGAAATAAATTCCATGAAGAAGAGAGGAACATTTCGTTTAAGAGAAGGAAATTGAAGTAACGACATTCTTAATGTTTGGGAAAAGGTTCAAAGGAACAGAAACAGAACGAAATAAAGACATAAATAATGGAACTATTATGTACATATATAAAGATTGTAAAATGTACAAACATCTATCTATGTGATTTAATCTATGTGTGTGTGTGAAGCATGTTTAATATCGGGAATAGAGTGTTTTTGTAGATAGAGTGTATATATAGATCTCTATTTCTGAATATCGCATGAGGCATGAAACTGTCAGCTATCTATCATTGTTCATATCGATCTATCTATTTATTTATCTATCTATCTACCTATCTCAGTCTGTTCATATCTATCTATCTATCTATCTATCTATGGCTGTTCATATTCTATCTATCTATCTACCTATCTATCTATCTATCTATCTATCTATCTATCTATGATCATACCTACCTCTATCTATCTATCTATCTATCTATCTATCTATCTATCTCAGTCTGTCCATATTCTATCTATCTATCTATCTATCTATCTATCTATCTATGATCATACCTACCTACCTCTCTCTCTCTATCTATCTATCTCAGTCTGTCCATATCTATCTATCTATCTGTCTACCTATCTATCACAGTCTTTTCATATCTATCTATCTATCTATCTATTTATCAGTTAATCTATCTATCTATCTATCTATCAGTTAATCAATCATTCAATCTATCTATCACAGTCTGTTCATATCTATCTATCACAGTCTTTTCATATCTATCTATCTTTCACAGTCTTTTCATATCTATCTATCTATCTATCTATCAGTTAATCAATCTATCTATCAGTTAATCAATCAATCTATCTATCACAGTCTGTTCATATCTATCACAGTCTTTTCATATCTATTTATCTATCTATCTATCTATGATCATTCTATCTATCTATCTATCTATCTATCTATCTATCTATCTATCAGTCAATCAATCAATCAATCAATCTATCTATCACAGTCTGTTCATATCTCTCTATCACAGTCTTTTCATACCTATCTATCTATCTATCTATCTATCTATGGTATTTGAGCTACATTTATGTGTTAAGAATGCTCAATATCAGAATAGAATGTTTTGTAGATAGAGCGTAGATATAGTTCCTGGTTCTGAATATCGCCTGAGGTGTGAAACTGTCCCCATGTAGTTTTCATTGTTATATCCACGATCTATCTGTACACACATATCCACACATTCTCACTGGGTGTACCAAAATTCCGGCGTTGTGCCGCATCTAAGCTGCGTTCAGAAAATCACCATTTCTCTCTGTTTATCTGTCTCTCTCTATATATATGTCCAGAAAAGAAATCACTTATACGAACACAAGAAAAACTAAATAAATAGCTTAATCACAGTAGCCCCTCCCATTTTGTTCACAGTCACTGACAGCTGTGTTCGAAGGCAGCTGCACTAATCCGTAGCCAGTATATACGGGTTATTCCCTCAACCGTTTTAGTCCACTTCCGGTTTTTTTATTTTTGTTTTTTTTTTGTATCATGGTGCCAATGGTCACAGCCGTTTTTTCAAAGGTAGATAGATGTTTTTCGGTACATATCCATAACAGATGGTTAGCAAGCTGGTCTCGTTACAACTGAATAGTGAGTTCGATCCTCACTGGGTGGCCCATAATTTCGGCCATGTGCCACATCTAATCCACGCTTAGAAAATCAATTGGGCAACTTGAGATGGTGTAACGGTTAGCAAGCTTGTCTCGCTAGAACAATTATGACTGAATTGTGAGTTCGATCCTCACTGGGTTCCCCATACTTTCGGCCATGTTCCACATCTAAGCTAACTTAGAAAATCATTTTGAGGGTACCTCGAGATGGTGTAATGTTTAGCAAGATTGACTCGCTAGAACAATTACGACTGAGTAGTGAGTTCGATCCTCAATGGGTGCCCCATACTTTCGGCCGTGTGCCACATCTGAGCTACGCTTGGAAATTCTTTATCCATAACAGTTTCTTTGCTTGCTTGTAGAACTCTCGCTTGACGTCTTGCATTCCAGTTAACTTTGGTCCTCAAAAATTTAAATGTAATTCCAATCATTATTTTTTATTTTCTTAATTCCTGTTCTTCTTATTGTTCGCTCTCCCTGAAAATGATTTTTTTCTAATTCCTTCACAATTATTAATCCATTACGTCTTATTGGTTTTATTAGCTTGCTTCAGATGAAATGATTATATATATATATATATATAGATATATATATATATATATATATATAAATTGTCGATCTTTGTATTGTATTGTTGAACAGTCTATTTGTATTGTATTGTATTGTTGAACAGTTCCTATTTATTGTATTGTTGAACAGTCCTTAATTAGTGTATTGTCGAACAGTCTCTTTGTATTGTATTGTTGAGCAGTCTCTTTGTATTGTGTTGTTGAACAGTTCTTAATTATTGTATTGTTGAAGTCTCTTTGTATTGTATTGTTGAGCAGTCCCTATTTATTGTATTGTTGAACAGTCCCCTTGTATTGTATTGTTGAACAGTCTATTTGTATTGTATTGTATTTTTGAACAGTCCCTTTGTATTGTATTGTTGAACAGTCTATTTGTATTGTATTGTATTGTTGTACAATCTGTTTGTATTGTTTTGTTGAACAGTCTCTTTGTATTGTGTTGTTGAACAGTCCTTATTTATTGTATTGTTGAACAGTCCCTTTGTATTGTGTTCTTGAACAGTCCTTATTTATTGTATTGTTGAACAGTCCCTATTTATTGTATTGTTGAACAGTCTCTTTTTATTGTGTTGTTGAACAGTCTCTTTGTATTGTATTGTATTGTTGAACAGTCTGTATTTATTGTATTGTTGAACAGTCTCTTTGTATTGTGTTGTTGAACAGTCCCTCTGTATTGTGACGGTATGCTGGTACCAAAACAATGACAACTGTTTTATAACTTCAGTTGAAGCCATTAACCACTTGACTGACAAACTTATACTATTTATTCCTGCAAAACAAGAACTCATCTTAGATTTATATGGATTGAAATAACCATCGAAGAAAAGAACACTTATTCTAATGGACCTAAAACGCTAGACAACCATTTTTAATTGGCTTTCTACAAGACAGCAATTCCCTCCACTTTCACAAATCCCTGCGTCTTAGTGGCATTATCGCTTTGCTTGAGATGAAAGGAATGTTTAGGAAATACCTGAAAATGACTAAGGGGACTACAAAAAAGCAAGTACCTAAAAAACCGTCCATACCTGGAACCACCCACATATGCGCATGAGGGGCTCCATGTCATAATCTTGACAAACTTATCATTGTGACGCTAGATTGGCTGAGATACACAGGAAGTCAGTGTGTGTGAATGATCCTATCTCTGCTTGAAACACTGATGGTTTTATGACAAGTGACAGTAAAATCTAAACGTGATGACTTTAAATCAACTAGTCGCTGTCCACAAGTCTAGAAAAAGGAAGTATAGTAAATAAATAAAAAGGAAAAGTTTGGGATCAAGTGTCACTCGGTCGGATTGTAGGGGATTCCGGTGGTGGGTTTATATATTAAGGCCGCTTTCTAGAATGGACAGTGATAGAGCGATCGGAAGAACCAGAGTAAGAAGCCGCCAGTGAAAATGTAGAGACAGTCACAGTGACGAGATAAAATCGGTTACAGAGAGTTGGTGTCAGTCGGTGTTCTTGCTGGCCGAAAGAAAGAACTCATCCGTTAGTATGTCGTAAGAGAAGCGAGAAGACGCAAGTGTATACTATGCGTAATGTATTATTTCACCAGTAAATATATATTGTAGCATATTGTTAAACACTCCTGTATTGTATTGTATCTTTAAATAGTTCCTCTGTGTTGTATTGTATCGTTAAACAGTCTCTCTGTTTAGTATCGATTAACAGTCTCTTCATATTGTATCTTTTAGCTGTTTAACGAAGGCCGAAGTGAAGGTCGCCTTTGTTAGTATGTCCTGAGAAAAGTGAGAAGTCGCCAGTGTATATATTAAACTTAATGTATAATTTCACCAAAATATTAATGTAATAACTGCAAAATACGTCCAATGTTACCACACTGGGACCAGAGAATGTAAGAACCTAACAGGAGTAAAAAAAAAAAACAACATATACACTGTCCTTATCTGAGAGCAGTTCAGGTGATGTCATTGCTCGACATTGAGTGGCAGCCATCATAATTTATTTTTATAATCTTGCACGTTGTGACGTTATATTAAAGTTTCGATTTTTATCATCAGATGTTGGAATAGTTTCGTGAGGATGGGAATTCTTATTTATTTATTGCCCAAATATATACAAATATATATAGAAATTAGTTTCCTATATATTTTCATCAGAGTTTTTTTTATAATTATTGCTTTTAATATTTGTAATCATATTGCCCCTTTTTTTTTCTTTTAATGTTATATATAATATTTTTGTGTTATTTACAAGAATATTTCAGGTCTAGGTTGTTTTTTTTTCTCTTATTTTTATTGTATATTTGGTTAGCAATATAGGTTTGAAAAAACAGATTTAAATCGATCACGAAATGATTCAAGGATCGGATGATAAAAGTTCAAACACAAACTGTGACGTCACAACGCGTTACATGACAAAAACATAAACGTTCACATAGAATTATTATCAGTAGCCTAGACATGGCACAAGGTGGCATGTAGGGAGCACCGACAGAAGATCGAACCCATTAGTCATTCGTAACTGATCTGGCGAGACAGGCTTGCGAACCATTACAAGTCGAAGTGCCTACTAGAGCGATTTACCACGGGTAACTTAGATGTGGTATAAGGCCGCAAGTATTGAGCACCCAGTGCGTACTGAACTAACCATTTAGTCGTAATTGATCTAGAGTTGCACTTCTTAAACTTTTTTCAATGATGACGCCATTTTTCATGACAAGATTTTTCGCGATCTCTTGTATTAACCAACTACACTGTAAATGCATCCGTTGTCACTGCACTGCAAAAAAAAAATGTCAAATGTTTTTGGACACATGGAATAATTGAAATAGGCTTTAGAAGGAACAAAAAAAACAATCCTAAACAGTAAACGAAGAAAAAAAATTGCTACTCCCCTTCAAAAGTCCGGGGAGGAGCGTGAACAGGGCGATAGGCGAACCTGTCCATTCCTATTGAAGAAAAAAGGCAAGTAAATAAATAGTAAATTACAATTCATTGTTTAGGCGGAGGCATCAGAAGCATAGTTGAAGTAAACTTTGGAAGGAACCGGAAACCTATTCCGAAACAGAAAACGAAGAATAAACCGCTATTGCTGGTCAAAAGACCAGAAAGGAGTGTGAACCGGATGGTAGGCGAATCTATCTACTCCTATTGAGGAAAAAGTACAGTAAGTAAGTAGTAAATAAAACTTCAAAATCTAGGCAGAGATATTAGAAATATAGAGTTGAAGTAGACTTTAGAAGAAACCAATAACCCAGTCCTAAACATGAAACAAATGATAAACCTCTATTCCTGTTCAAATGACCGGTACTTGCTGATGCAGCCCCTGTGGTGAGAATATTAATCTGACAAATTGAGATCTGAGGATCACGTTTGTGACACTATGGTTACAGTTACAAACAGAATATTATCAATGTTTGTCGTCTTAATTGATTTTTAATCTGTAGCAAAGGAAGTGTTTCTATCCGGTCTATCAGTTATAATACCTCTTATATAATATTCGTTATGTAATACCATTTACGTAATAGACATTATATAATATATATTTACGTAATATATTTTATGCAAATCCCAACCGATAAATAAACTATCTTTCTAAAATGAGCGCCGAGAAATTCAGATAGGGGGGGATATTAACGGACAGTTTCTGATCGACTTCCGGCAGGACATTACTACTTTTCAGTGAAACTTGATAGTAAAATGAATAACTATACCACATCTATGCATCCGGACAATAAAATGATGCATATCTCCCTGACTTAAACCTTCCGCAATAAAAAAAAACCCTCTTTGGACGACTCACCGTAGAATAATAGTAATCTTGCCATAGGGAGCACCGAAGGAAGGATATTAGAATAATCCAGAATTTATATTGGCA